GCTTCATCAGTCCAGTACAAAAAATGGTGAAGATCAGGAGTTTGAAGTAATCAGTCCCTCTATGCAATCTTCACCGTTCTTCTTTATATTGGACTGATGAAGCCACTGTATAGTGAAACGTGTCAAATTTATCGGGAGATTGTTTTTTTAGAATTAGTGACAGATAACATCCATGGGGAGGGACGTCGGTTTGATTATTACTTAACCATTATAAGAGGAAGACGATGTATGAAAGTTCCTAAGTAGAATGTAAACATTGGTTGAAGAAGGGCGACTGTATGGCGGAGACGAATTATTAAACATGATATGTAAAGTCAGGTGAGCTGATGAAAGTTGTATATGGCCTTCGGTTTATTTTATTTATTTATTGATATTTATGTGAAGCATTAAACTCGTGTTGGCTAGTCAACAAGGGGCGAGGCTCCGTCCTGTGCACTAATATCAGGAAAGACATATTGCATAGTAGTCTAGTTATCTTAATCTGAATTGTATCTGTAATTAAGGTTTTAAGAGGAAGGTTCTTCAGGTGTGAGTTCCTTGGAAACTGTGAAATAAAATATCTTATGAAGTTGAGAACTCTTAACTTTAGGAGCTCTTGGCAGGGGCTGAAATTTGAGGTTTCTCGACGTCAGTGGAGGTGAGAAAGTCACGGGGAGGAACTGTTGAAGTCATGTAAAGTAAAAGGACACAAGTGCAACTAATGTGACATTTTATTGTGGCAACGTTTCGCTCTCCAGGAGCTCCTGGAGAGCGAAACGTTGCCACAATAAAATGTCACATTAGTTGCACTTGTGCCCTTTTACTTTACATATTGTGGGTAATTCTACCAACATTGTTGAAGTCATCATATGATACAGTAGAAGTTCTAGGTGTTTGAAGAATCTAGCAGTTATTTTTGTATATAAACTATCGTCACCAACGAGAGAGGAATTCACAGAACAGATAAGGAAGATAGATAGCTGTCTGGAAAATCCGACACTAAATATTATTTTTGGAGACTTCATCGTTTTATATATTAAGAATAAGGCAGTAGACAACAGCATTGTATCAGAAATGATAGCTGGAAATACATTAGCTCAACAATCACACCAGGAAGCTATTAGTATTGTAAAGAGTTTATTTTGAACAAATAGATAACAGAAACTACTAAAAATTGCAGTACAGAAATGAGGAACTGATACAATATACTTAGATTATGATCTCATAAGAAAGAAGGAACACTGCATTAGGCCTACTGGCCAATGGGAGGCAGGTCCAAGACTTCCGGCTTAAGCTAATGATCAACCTAGTGAGGTCAGGTCACATCCACTTCAGGAAGGAGCACGGCATGAGACCTATTAGCACAAGATAGTCAGGTCCAACTCACACCACTCATGTATTTAACCTATTTTTAAAACTACATAACGTTTTAGTTTCTATGACGGTACTCGGGAGTTTGTTCCACTCATCCACAACTCTATTACTAAACCAGTGCTTTCCTATATCCTTCCTAAATCTGAATTTTTCCATCTTGAAACCATTACTGCGAGTCCTGTCTTGGCTTGATATTTTTAGCACGCTATTTGCATCCCCTTTATTTATTACTGGTTTCCATTTATACACCTCAATCATATCCCCCCTAATTCAACGGCTTTCTAGAGAGTGCAGATTCAGTCTATCCTCATAGGGAAGATTTCTGATACATGGGATCAACTTTGTCATCCTCCTTTGTATGTTTTTCAGAGCATTTACATCCATTCTGTAATACGGTGACCAAAACTGTGCAGCATAATCTAAATGAGGCCTAGCTAAAGATAGAGTTGAAGAACAGCCTAAGGACTCCTATTATTTATGCTTCTTGATATAAGCCAAGGATTCTGTTAGCTTTATTGCGAACACTAATGCACTGTTGTCTTGGTTTTGGATTACTGCTAACCAGAACTCCTAAATCCTTTTATCAGTCAGTAATATTAAGATCTACATTATTTAGTTTATACGCGGCACTGTTATATAGTACAGGAATCTTTACGTAGAGAACCCACGTGAAGAGATGTTCAGTAAATCTAATTTCAACAAGCAAAAGAACTGGATGACACTGAATAGAAAACTGAGACATTTTTTTGGGAAACACTTGTCTTGAGCATCTTAACCCTACCAGAGTATGGAAAAACTGAGCGCGCGCACATACGAGTCGGCATAAAATTATTTCTCTGAGAAATCCTACAGAAGAATGGATAGAAGAAAAGTTTGATGAATTGCTAAACCATACGAGCATATGCCACAACGTTGAAAGATAAATTACACTAGAGATTACCTATATAGATCAGAAACTAAAACGCTGTGACAAGAGGAAGTAGCACAGAATGAACAAGAAAAGGTCGTCCAGGAATTACAAAAAAATCCTAAATGTTTTCACACGTGCAAATTCAAGAAACAAAATACTGTCTAGAATTAGTCACCTAATCACATAAGGTTCATACATCTAGACTTGATTTTATTGAACTCTTTATTTATAAACTATTGCAAAACTACTAACACACGAATACTGATTATTATTTGGAAAAAAGAGTTGAGATCCAGGTGAAATCTGAGAGCCTTAAAAAGTGCAGACATATAGTAGCTCCTCTGCACTAAGGAGTGTGTTAGATCTCTGGCAAAAACTTGTGAAGAGTAGCGCTAGCAGTACACACCAGAAAAGTATGAAAGAGTAGTGACATTCTTGACTTACACAGTCCAGGTCAACATGAATTTAGAGCGGGAGATCATGCTTGTCACACTTAGATAATTTTAGCAAAATTACGGAGGTTTGGTAGAAAAAAAGCCTACGTTATTTATATAGACCTCGCCAAAGAATTTGACAAACGTGATCATGGAGTGATAGGCCCATAAAATAGGGTTCACTGATATAACACAATTGGGAATGCAGATACGTACTCAGTTTTCAGAAGATTGGAACACAGAGTAGTAGTAAACAAAGCAAACTCCAGCCTTAGAAAAAAAATTAGGTTCAGTGCTCCGAGGCACGATCCTAGTATCTGATTGTTTCTTATCCTCACAGAAGGCACTGATAAAAACACTAGCCACAGCTCCGTATCACCCGATACGAAGCTGTGGCTTGTGTTTTTATAAACATGAAAGTCACCTCGGTAAAAGTCATGGTAACATTGGAAGCAGATATCAACAGTGTCTTCCAGCAGGTAGTGTAAAATAACATAAGTAATGATTAACTTACACAGCTAATTAGATATGGAATAAACAAATCGGAAGGAACACTGGATATAAAACACAGATAGGACCATCTCATAAACGAAAGTATCACGTAAAACCTTTGGGTAAAATGTCAGAAGACATTATTTAGAGAACACAATAGTGCTGTGAAGGGAAATAAAATAACAGGGCGGATAGTGTGAATTTTCAAAGCAAGAAATAACACCAATTATGGCTCTTCAAATCATGCGTTTTCTCAACAACATTGTTGTGTTTACAGCCCCGTTTACGGCATGACCGATATTGGAACTGGGAAAAGGTACAGAATTCGTTTACTTCTCGCATAGTTAATAAATTTAGATTACCAGTTATGCTTCAAAAACACTTGAGAGTCGAGTGCGTTATTACCATAATAACACTCGAGTGAGGGATATGGGAGGAAGTATAAAATTGACCCAGAACAAAACGTGGGTGCCACAGCACAAAAGAACGCTGTGTCAACTTCCGTGGTCCAAGACTATTCAACCTGCTACAGCAGACATCAGCAATATTGCTGGAACCAGTGTAGAAGTTTTCAAGAGGAAACCGGATCCACCATCTCTGCCAAATGCCAGATTAATTAGGCTGTGATGGATGTGGGCCAGCGGGCTGCCAACACCAACAGACTGGTTGTAAAGGCAATTAATAGAAAAATCCTGACTCTGGGCCGGGCTGCGAGGATAGAGAAACTCAAAACCGGTCACAGGTATACCACAGGTGGATGAGATTGGTGCGTACACATGATATACCTGTACTAGCCTGTTTAAAATTATGTTCTCACGTAGTGTAGCTCACTTGTTGGATATTGAACCATTATTATGTATATGAATGAGGACAACTTGCACTGATGCAGTCTCTCTCTACAGGATTCTTACACCCTGTATCTTTTTTTACTGTAAAAAAAATGTATCAATTTATGCTCATCTTACTGGCTCATGAGAAGCAAGTCCAAGTCACACCCGCTTAAGAAGGAAGGGGCACCGCAGTAGGCCTACTGGCCCATGCGAGGCAGGTCTATGTTACCTACAGGCTTAAATCAATGCTCCAACCTAGTGAGGTCCAGGTCACTATGCGCCTCCCATTTTTCGATTACCGTCTTCTCGCAGGGTGGTTATGTAGTGGATGTTTGAAACACGTATTCAATAAGTTGTGGGGCCATTATATGACCACCCCCGCTAAACATATAGGGGTAATATAGCGCTTGGGTTCTATCAAAGGAAGGAGAGGGATATGTAGTGTGTAATTTTTGAAAGTAAATAAATGTGAATAGGATAGCCTTGGTCAGTAATAAAAACAAAGACTGTAGCAAGTAGATGAAATCAGACTCTAGATGAATGGGAAAGCTGTCTGGTAGAGCCTCTTGACAGTATCTGTGTGTCAGGGTGCTCTCACATTGCTCGTCATCTAAGCCAAAGTTAACAGGGACTTTACGTCCCTGAGCCAGTTTTCCAACACGTAAGAGATGGACTTCCTCTGGCTGGTGGTATCCCAACTTTGGTTGTTTCCATGAACTCGTGACACATGGATCAGCTCTGTGTTGGGTGGGGCAAGGGGCGTTGAGGCGCAGCCTCGATAGATTTGGTATGGCGAGTTTTCGCCACTGGATCGACACGGTTCTCGGGAAGATCAAAATCAGGAATGTACAGGTGTGTGTGTGGGCGTCAAGCCAGGCATCGGGTTGATCTATGTGCGTTCATATGTGTGGCAACTCTGGTGGCCAAGATGGCGCGCGCGGGGGTGCGTGTGATGGCTTGAGTCATATAAGGCGGGTGCGCCTGGCCAGCCACTAGTCGAGACACAGACTTCAGTGCATACGAGTTGCAGCTCTCCTCAAATAAGTGATTCTGTAGGAAGTCTACGGTTCATACACGCCACTTTGAGTACTCTTGTAAACATTGTGCAATTATTGATTTATTGCTCTGGTGGTGGTACCTCAGTGGATGTTGTTGAACATAGTGTATTTGTGAGTGTTGATGAACAGTGCTTACTGTGCCCAGCTAGTGTGATAAGGAGCCTTGTTATCTATAACAAAAAGGACAAACATTTTAATAGTAACTATGAAGACGGACGCTCTACATTGTCAGTACTCACACCCCGGTATGGACATAGGTGGACACGGGCCTATAACACCGCCCGCAACGCCCACGCAAGAGATGTCCAGAACGCCCACGTTTTCCAGCTGCTCCGAGCCACAGTATGGCCAGCATGAATACACACAACAAGAGTACTCCCAGCAAGAGTACGCAGATTCACAATACACCAATGTGGATTACTCCTCTTCGCATTCCTTCTCTCCACCTGAATCTCCTATGACCACACCCAAGAGCACGCCCACACACACTCCAGCCCACACACCACTGTCCACAACGCCCACCAAAACCCCCACCACGTTATCCAGAAGTAGAAAAAATTCCTTCGTATATGACGTCAGATTAACAGACGAGCAGTTCCTCTTCTTTGTTCCCGACTTGGTAAGTTTATTAACTAAAAAGTGGTATGATCATGGTCTATATAGAACTACTAGCTATCATTCATTTTTAAGAATCTTTTCGTAAAGTGTTTTGCTAGCTGGATAATATAGTATGGAGTACAAGTGAATTAATGTTGTGCTATCACTTCCCTTTGTAGTAGACCGAGAAGCTTATTTTGAATCAAATCACTTGCTGCCACTTCAGATATATACTATTTCTAAGTGAAGATACGTGACCATTGTGAAAATGGAAGGGTTGACTGTAGATAACTGCTTGAGATAAAGATAGGTCAGAGGCCGTGGTTTTGTTGAGAAGGAACGGTGGGATCAACTACCCCTTAACGGGCCACACCCTAACCTTTCCCCATTCGTCACAGACAGCTTGGAAAACGTGTATCAGTAGTAAGAATGAGCGTATTATGTTTAAGGGGGCTATATAGAGCCTGGGGAATGGGAAGCAATCAGGAGAATAACTCCGGTTTCCAGGATCAAGAGACTTTTACCAGCATCAACACTTGCCTTAAAGGGAAGATTGAGCGTAACATTGTTTTTTATGCCTGGTCTTTGTTTTGGTGTTGGACTTTAGTTGTTGGGGTGAGAGTGGATGGGGAACTGGCATGTTTCACAGGTGGTAGCCATAGGCTTGAAATAACCTGGTCGAGTGCGCACCTTGCCAAATTCTCACCCCACTACCTCCACCATCACTACACTTCCTACGTTAGCCTCCTTGCCTCGATGAGTTCGATGATGTGTCAGTAAAGTAAGTCATGGTAGTTACTGCTGAAATTTAGCTATGTGAAGCAAAGAATGAATACTTTTGAAGATGTTTTCCTTGGAGACTAAGTTTTAAGCTTGATCTCAATTCGAAAAGTTGTCTTTATAAAGCATCCATTCAGCTTTAGTTGCTTGTTTGTATATGTTTAGCAAATTGATTTTAGGTAGGTTTGCTCTAGATCACGAAGCTGAGGGAGTAATTATTTTTTCTGTGATTCCTGGCTGGGTCTTCCTTTGATGTTATATATATTTTTTAGGTTTAAATGTAACTGCCAAGTAGAAGAGTATTTTTTAATATACCTGTGACGTGTTTCGAGTTTTATTTTTATACCCTCACAACCCGGCTTGGGGCCAGGCCTTTCAGTCAGTTGTGTGTTCAACCAAACTGTTGCTGTTTGGAGCCTGCTGGTTCTGTTAGCTATAATAGCCTAATTGATCTGGGATTTGGTGGAAATAGACTGTTTAATCTTGAAAACTTACGTCTTGGTATTGTAGCAAGTACTTGGTGTGTTGGACATGCATTAGTAAGAATGGTTGGATGTAAATTTGACATGTTTAGTTTGGGTCAGAAGGCCTACTGCAATGTACCCTTTTTAATGCTCTTATATAACGTGATTTTTTTTTTTATTTTTTCAGGATCTGGTGAAGTCGCATCTGATGTTCGCTGTGCGTGAGGAGGTGGAGGTGCTGAAGGAGAAGATCACGGAGCTGATGGAGCGCATCTCGCAACTGGAGTATGAGAATACTGTTCTCCGGCAGTATGCTACTCAAGAAGCGCTGCAGCAGATCCAGCAGCCCCGCCACACCTCCAACACCTGAGCCACCCACTTCACTCCCTCCACAGCAACACCTCCACTACACCACTATGCTGGTGCTCTACTCTGCCCTACCCACACCAGCTAATGCAGTGTACTCATAAGCTACGTGAACAGTGTGCAACACTTCAGCGGGCAGCAACTGCCCGTCCACGGACGCCAGAGGCACCTTTATATTTAGGCTCATAATTCATTATTATTGCCGATATGGCGAAATAGCTTAGAATTCTGTATATACTCCATTGAGATTTAGTAAGTTTGTACAGATTATTTTTGTTGGCCTTAAACTATTGATAGCAAAATATATATATGGAGTTTAGAGCGTGAGACTTAAATTTTGCTTGGCTTTTGCGGGAACATGAAAAGCCCGACTGGAGGTGTAGAGACGCCGACCCGGCCTTGGCCAACCATTTTGTCATTCCAAGTGCGTCCTGCACTCTCCGGACCTGTGCTTGCACGATCCTTCACCTCTACTCCTCGCATTGTAATTTTTGTTAAGATGTTTACCAGCAGGAATATAGTGTTTAAAGTGGTCATGATGCAGGTAGTCAGCTAAAGTTATGCAATAAGACAAGTCATGTAGGTCTCCGTGGTCCCGATTCTGTACGGAACCCCAGGCAGCTGCTACAAAAGGGTCATCTGCCTCACTTTTGGCCCTCGTAATGTCCTGGAAACTTGACCAGGCTCATTCATATCACATTAGCTTGTCTCAAGAAGTTTACTGCTGTGCTTCATATAGTCAGTTTGTAAAATGGCTATTGCTTGTTAAGACTTAAGATGAATTTCCTGCCAACCTCCCAGCCACATGCCGCGATGAAGCCTATGTGGCCGGGAGGAGAATATTTTGATACACAAGGTGCTGAGTATCTCTTAGCACAGTCACTGGAGAAGGAGCGTCTTTCCCATTACAAAGGTACACTCCCTCCTGTGCCTGCCATCGTCACCCATGTGAAGGGCATGTGATAAACATTTAGTCTACCCCAGCACGCACCTCCTGCACCCAATAAGTTTCTCATATTGAGAAACACCCCCAAGTTAGTCAGAGGAGGACGTGTTGGAGGCCTGGCGGTCTTTTCTAGCTTTGCTGCTGGCAGGTTTCCCCTGAGGACGCGTCTGCTACTAGTCCAGTTCTTACAATAGTGTTTACAACCTCCTTCACACTTTCGCTATGCCACCCCAACACGTTTCTTCAAATGACGAGCCAAACTCCTGTGAAAGGTTTCAACAGGAAGCTTTAAATTTGCATCCTACCCTTCCTTGCTGAAATTTTCTTACAAATGCAGTGTTAACTTTTAAAGTGTTTCATAGTATTGTATTGAAAGTCATGTGTAATGATTCAGTGACTATTAACCACTGAAGCTCGTCCTAGGAAAAGACTTATATTTTACACGTAGTTCTTGCTCATATGGCAACATTGCTCATTACAGTTTGCTGTTGTACTGTGAAGTTCCTGAGGTATATATCTACATATTTATATATACTTTTGGAGTATTATTTTTTCGGGGGTGAATGGAAAAGGGTTACACACTATGTTGCCAACACAGTGGCAGCGTGTTTGAGGTGATAAAAGATGTATATATACTAGTAAGTCTTGTCCATTGGTAAAATGGACAGTCTACAATTCTCATCTGGTACTCAGCTTCCGGTGGTCGGTTCACACGGCCACCGCTCTACCATACACAAGATTTGTATAAGAAATAAAGTTATTGACCAATTAATAGCACTTTGCTTCCCCGTTACCTTATTATATTGCAAATTTTTGTAGTTTACAGCTTTGCATGACTCGTATGGGTTTAACGCTCTGCGATTATAATGTGTACAGAATTTAATTTCTTCAGGGAGGTTCTTGATGCCCCTCAAGGGACTCTTGATCCAAGTAATTGGATCAAGAGTTTCTCCATGGATGAAATGAAATAGCCTTTGATAATCCTATACTGCCATTCACGAGTATTATACGCGTGTTATACTGTAGCACTGGACGAGCCTGGCCTATGGCCGGGCCCCGGGAGTCTAAACTCGATCAAAGTTATATCCTATGGAATAAAAGGCGTTCAGGTTGTATCCAATGGAGGAAAAGTCCAGTTCCTCGGATCAAGAACACCTTGAGGAACGTTAAGTATGGTGTCAAGTGAGCTTCAGACTTCATGAAGCTCAGTGAGTAATACTGTGGAAGCGCTAAACCCATGAAGGTGATGGAGCGCCTGGAGAATGGGAGATAATCAGGTTTGATTCAAGGAAGAGGAGGGTTGATCCACTGCCTTGGATCACTAATCCTTCAACATCAATTAATGTTACCATGGTGTATTAAACAAGTTCAGAACAATGTGAAACTGCCAACGTGTACGAGATAATGTGCCAGGCAGTGTACATGTGCCAGGCAGTGTACATGTGCCAGGCAGTGTACATGTGCCAGCAGTGTACATGTGCCAGGCAGTGTACATGTGCCAGGCAGTGTACATGTGCCAGCCAGTGTACATGTGCCAGGCAGTGTACATGTAGATAATGTACATGTACTAGACACTTTATGTACATGTACCAGATAATGTACATGTGTTAGACACTTCAGTACATGTACAGAATAATGTACATGTAATACACTACTAGGTAATGTACATATATTAGACACTTCATGTACTAGGTAATGTACATATGCTAGATATTTCATATTCTAGATAATGTACATGCACTAGGCACTGTATATGTACATGTATCAGACTACGTGTACTAGATAGTGTACATGTACAAGAGTAACAGGTTTAACGCTTTTTCAGAATATACATAATTTATTAAATGTAGAAACATGTTCAAGATAATGTAATGTACAGAATGACTAAAAAAAAATTTCGAAGATGGAAGTCAAAATCTTACAAAAGAAATATGCAAAACGTAAAAAAAACTTATAGAAAGATAATGTAAAAAAATGGGAGGCAGATTCTATCTAGGAAATACTAGGAAAATCCAATTCCTTGGATCAAGAGCCATGAGAGGTGTACAGAGGCTTAATATATGTAAAGGACACTAAAAAAAATAAAAGACAGTGATCATATTATTGGAGAAACCCTAAACTCTTAAGTCATAGCACCAGGGCGCTGTATAGCCCTTGTGGCTTAGCGCTTCTTTTTTATTATAATAGCACCAGGGGGCGGGATGGGGCAGGTAGTTATATTATGATATTGATCCAGAGAGCTGCCCCTCTTCCTTATGTAAAATGTAGCCGATGAGAGCCTTCCAGGCAGCGCTGTATGACCCTAGTGGGTTTAGCGCTTGCTTCTAATTATAACTGAACCTTCCAAGTCTCCAGGTAGGTTGTTGAACCTTTCTGTTTCCAGTTTCCAACTTGAACCTTCTAGTAGCCAGCTTGAACCTTCCAGTCATAAACCTGATGAATCAATTCGATCCAAGGGTATGGAAGGTAGCTTCAATTCCTTGGATCAAATGATACGGGTTAAATTTTGCAATTTATGCATCTGTTACTGATGTAAGTATATTTGTAATGAATATTTTGCTACCAGCAACAACCTGCTTGAACAATAAAAACATGGCCTAGGTCAGACTAAGAGGATAGGAAAACTCTTGAAACTGTTCACAGGTATCCTCCCAGAGGTTGGTAACCCGTAAGCCTCGGTACTTGTAAATGGCAGCAAACAATCCAGCTAAATATCCTTCGTAATACTCTGCTGGTTTAAACTAGGATAGGAACGAACTGATGTCATTTGGGTTGTGATGTCACGTAGCAAATGTGAGTAATTAGGATACTGCTGTTGTAACTAGTATACTGAGAACAGTAACTACTATACTGCTTGTGGTAACTTCTGTGCTATACCGATAGCAACTACTATACTGTCTGTGGTAACTATTGTGCTATGTCGATATTAGCAACAACTATACTGCACTGTCAGCAGCAACAACTATAATATGCTGTCAGTAGCAATTACTGTACTGTCAGTAGCAACTACTATATTATACTGTCAGTAGCAACTACTATACTGTACTGTCAGTAGCAACTACTATACTGTACTGTCAGTAGCAACAACTATACTGTACTGTCAGCAGCAACAACTATAATATGCTGTCAGTAGCAACTACTATACTGTACTGTCAGTAGCAATTACTGTACTGTCAGTAGCAACTACTATATTATACTGTCAGTAGCAACTACTATACTGTACTGTCAGCAACTACTATACTGTACTGTCAGTAGCAACAACTATACTGTACTGTCAGTAGCAACAACTATAATATGCTGTCAGTAGCAATTACTGTACTGTCAGTAGCAACTACTATATTATACTGTCAGTAGCAACTATACTGTACTGTCAGTAGCAACTACTATACTGTACTGTCAGTAGCAACTACTATACTGTACTGTCAGTAGCAACTACTATACTGTACTGTCAGTAGCAACTACTGTACTGTCAGTAGCAACTACTATACTGTACTGTCAGTAGCAACTACTATACTGTACTGTCAGCAGCAACTACTATACTGTACTGTCAGTAGCAACTACTATACTGTACTGTCAGTAGCAACTACTATACTGTACTGTCAGTAGCAACTACTATACTGTACTGTCAGTAGCAACTACTAGACTGTACTGTCAGTAGCAACTACTAGACTGTACTGTCAGTAGCTACTACTAGACTGTACTGTCAGTAGCAACTACTATACTGTACTGTCAGCAGCAACTACTATACTGTACTGTCAGCAGCAACTACTATACTGTACTGTCAGTAGCAACTACTATACTGTACTGTCAGTAGCAACTATACTGTACTGTCAGTAGCAACTACTATACTGTACTGTCAGTAGCAACTACTATACTGTACTGTCAGTAGCAACTACTATACTGTACTGTCAGTAGCAACTACTATACTGTACTGTCAGTAGCAAACTACTATACTGTACTGTCAGTAGCAACTACTATACTGTACTGTCAGTAGCAACTATTTACTGTGCTGTCAGTAGCAACTACTATACTGTACTGTCAGTAGCAACTACTATACTGTACTGTCAGTAGCAACTACTATACTTACTGTACTGTCAGTAGCAACTACTATACTGTACTGTCAGTAGCAACTATTTACTGTGCTGTCAGTAGCAACTACTATACTGTACTGTCAGTAGCAACTATTTACTGTGCTGTCAGTAGCAACTACTATACTGTACTGTCAGTAGCAACTATTTACTGTGCTGTCAGTAGCAACTACTATACTGTACTGTCAGTAGCAACAACTATACTGTACTGTCAGTAGCAACTACTATACTGTACTGTCAGTAGCAACTACTATACTGTACTGTCAGTAGCAACTACTATACTGTACTGTCAGTAGCAACTACTGTACTGTCAGTAGCAACTACTATACTGTACTGTCAGTAGCAACTACTATACTGTACTGTCAGCAGCAACTACTATACTGTACTGTCAGTAGCAACTACTATACTGTACTGTCAGTAGCAACTACTATACTGTACTGTCAGTAGCAACTACTATACTGTACTGTCAGTAGCAACTACTAGACTGTACTGTCAGTAGCAACTACTAGACTGTACTGTCAGTAGCTACTACTAGACTGTACTGTCAGTAGCAACTACTATACTGTACTGTCAGCAGCAACTACTATACTGTACTGTCAGCAGCAACTACTATACTGTACTGTCAGCAGCAACTACTATACTGTACTGTCAGTAGCAACTACTATACTGTACTGTCAGTAGCAACTATACTGTACTGTCAGTAGCAACTACTATACTGTACTGTCAGTAGCAACTACTATACTGTACTGTCAGTAGCAACTACTATACTGTACTGTCAGTAGCAACTACTATACTGTACTGTCAGTAGCAACTACTATACTGTACTGTCAGTAGCAACTACTATACTGTACTGTCAGTAGCAACTACTATACTGTACTGTCAGTAGCAATTACTGTACTGTCAGTAGCAACTACTATATTATACTGTCAGTAGCAACTACTATACTGTACTGTCAGTAGCAACTACTATACTGTACTGTCAGTAGCAACTACTATACTGTACTGTCAGTAGCAACTACTATATTATACTGTCAGTAGCAACTACTATACTGTACTGTCAGTAGCAATTACTGTACTGTCAGTAGCAACTACTATATTATACTGTCAGTAGCAACTACTATACTGTACTGTCAGTAGCAACTACTATACTGTACTGTCAGTAGCAACAACTATACTGTACTGTCAGTAGCAACAACTATAATATGCTTTCAGTAGCAATTACTGTACTGTCAGTAGCAACTACTATATTATACTGTCAGTAGCAACTATACTGTACTGTCAGTAGCAACTACTATACTGTACTGTCAGTAGCAAACTACTATACTGTACTGTCAGTAGCAACTACTATACTGTACTGTCAGTAGCAACTACTGTACTGTCAGTAGCAACTACTATACTGTACTGTCAGTAGCAACTACTATACTGTACTGTCAGCAGCAACTACTATACTGTACTGTCAGTAGCAACTACTATACTGTACTGTCAGTAGCAACTACTATACTGTACTGTCAGTAGCAACTACTATACTGTACTGTCAGTAGCAACTACTAGACTGTACTGTCAGTAGCAACTACTAGACTGTACTGTCAGTAGCTACTACTAGACTGTACTGTCAGTAGCAACTACTATACTGTACTGTCAGCAGCAACTACTATACTGTACTGTCAGCAGCAACTACTATACTG